TCTGGTGTCAAAGCCTGAGATTTCATGAAGTAAAGAAAGAGGGAAAATTGCAGCTGGAGTAGGAAGGTAGATGTAAGGAATTAGATTTTCTTTTTAAATGTCTGAAGCCAAGAACTGGAGCGAAAAGCTCTGCAAAAGACAGGATTATTCCTCAGAGCAGGGCAGCCAGCTCGGCCACAGTTAGGCTACAATAGAAGCAGAGCAGCACACCCAGTGCATTCTGAGGAATCTGAGGCTGTTTTCAGAAAGACCTGCTTGTCAGCTCCTGAAGAAGGCTTTGGACTCTCCTCAAAGCTCTTTAACATGAAGAGTGCAGCTCATGCATCAGGGCAGTTCCCTGCAGTTCTCCCCAGGGAGGGGCGTGTGGAGACACTGGCCCTCCCCGGCTCTCTTTACCCAAGGAATCTAGGAACACATCAGCGTATATAACATTCCCCTGCTCAACTTAGTATCTTTGAAAAAGAGGAGTGGTTTAAAAAGAGGGCATTTTAAGAGGCTTACTCTGCCTCTGAAGCTTTCTGAAGTTTTTTTTTTTTTTCATTTTGGATCTGCTGAGGAGGAGCCAAAAGAGAGAGACATGGCTGCTTCATGTATAGGTGCTTCCATCCGAGAAGTGGCAAAGCCATACCACCTAAGGAGTCTCCTAACTTGGATCATTTCAACTTGGTAGTACTTACTTCAAGGAGTTCACAGAGCTCAACCAGCCCGATGCTAAATTATTAAGATTGAGACTACCATAGAAAGAAGGTTACCACTACCGCTGCCTACTGCATTACGTCATAGATGAGAATGCAGAGTTTACAGGGTTCTTAACGATTATCAACACAACTTCTTTATTTCATATACCAAGAAAAAGCTGACTCATTCAAGGTCACTTATTGGGAAAATCAAGGCTCCAACCTAAATCCTGTGTGCCTGCCACCGATGCCTGGGACGAGGCAATCTTGTCTATATATGAGAAAGAAAGGTGATGACTTACTTGCTATATTCCTTTGACGAACCAGGTTAGTGCCCCATACAATCAAACTGTTCCTTTGAAGTTTTGAGTTTTCCTTCCGATAATACAATTTCATAACAAGGAATTTTTTCATTAAAAACATAAAAGTATAGTGTAATGTTAAATATGCCTTTTCCACTTCTAACATAGTGTCCTAGAGAATTGGACCTATTGAGAACAAATGATTTTTAGTAGGGGTGTCCAACTTGTGGCCTGCCTTTTTTGTTGACCCCTTTTAATGTTACAGTATAATAATATTTTAAAAAGGAATTTCGCTTCTTATATACAGCTAACTATATTATATAGTCTAGATGCAGCCCAAGAAAATTCCTCTTCACTCACTGCAGCCCAGGCAAGCCAAGTGTGTTCAACCAGGGGCTGCAGGTTGGATACCCCCTGTAGTGAGACAGACAAACAGCATCTTGGCAAATCCAGAGAAGAGTTCAGCTGGAAGCGGCACTTAATCCTGACCTAGAAGGGCAAAGAAGGTATCCAAAAGGCAAAACATGGGTGAGCAGAGGCTGTGGAGGAGTTAGGCGGGCTGGGGGAGGGGGGGTATTCCAGAGCAAGTGAATTATGGGGTAAAAGGGCCCTGACACAAAGTTCAGGAAACTTCCAGTGGTCCAGTGTGGCTGATGGCTACCGTGTCATGGTGTGGCAAGGGGTAACTTGTGCTCCTTGAATGACCAATTTCAACAACTTCCCCCAAGTAAGCACAACATAGTGCAAAGAATATACTTGCCATGCAAGAACAGCTTTGCAATACATGTTCCCCAGCCCCTCCCCATCAACATATTAATCAAAAGGTCACACACAGTATAGTTAAGGGGTGTACAGTGAAGGGAACAATGGACTGGAACTTACCAGTAAGTCACTATGTGACTCCCCACTGATGTCAGCTGCCTCACTTCTAAAATGAATAGTTGACCCCACCCTGGGGGATCTCTATGGTCCCTTTGCCCTGGTGGTTAGAGTACCACACTGAACCTCCACCATAGTTATGTTGCTAGAAGATCAAATGTAGAGATCTGTAGACCAACACAAAGGCTCAGGCTGATCAGCAACCAATCTTCCCCATGATCCCCAAATTTCATCATCATTTCGTAAAAGTCAAGGCCATCTAATTGCAATGTTTCCTGTCAGTTCACATTGAGCCTGCATAGAAAGTTCACCAACAATGATCACTGCAAAATCAGCTCCTCAGATGAAGCACAAATCATACAATGAGGGTCAGGGCTGCTTTTCAGACTTCGAAGTACATCCTAATTATGGAGACCTCCTCCTGAAGGCACATACCTTTCAGGACCCTCCCACTGAGATTCTAATTCAGCTGGAGCAGGGTTTGAAGCTGCCAGTTGCACCAGCTCCTCTGGAGACTCTGGGGAGATTTTCACAGGAGGTGGTCAGGAGACACAAAGCTGAATCTAATCATTGGGAATGAGGGTAAAGACACGCAGGGGGCAATCATCTAGTTAGCAGGGCATGGGCTTCAGGTGCTTTCCTGGGAAGTAAGTAAAGAGGAGAGGGGAAAGGGCTAGTTGTATCTGGTTGTAAATGGGGGGCTATGCTCACGCATTCATTTAATAAATATTTATATGCACCCATATGGATCAGGTGCTGGGGGTTATGGAAATAAACAGGACAAAGGAGGTCCGTGCCCTCATCTTGACATGCCCTCTTACAGCTCTCCCTACCTAGCTGCTAAAATGGTTATGGTTCCCTCACAAACCTGTAGCCCAGAACACCCCAGCGATTCCATGCGAGGAAGGCCTTCCGTCACAAGTAGCAGGAGAGTGAGATAAAGGCAAGCCCTCTGAGAACTGCAGCTGAAACTGAAGACTTTCTCAGTGGTCAAGAAGCACTTCAGAACACACTGGAGAGGCCCCCTATATTCTATGGTTTGAGGGTGGGACCAATGGTCTTCCCAGAAAACCAATCCCCAGTGAAAAGCGTTTTGTGAGGCATGTGCTGCTGCTGCTGCTCTGTCCCTCAGTTTTGGACAAGCAGGTGGCCTGTCCAGCCAATCTTCATAAAGCACTGTTTGGGCAGTATCACCCCTGCCCCTGGGTTGAGCTTAAGCACCAGCTGAAGCATTTGAGACCCTCTATACTTAAGCCCTACCCACTTTACTGTTCCCTCCTCAAACTTTAACTGCTATCCTTTGTGTTGGCAATGCCTGTAAACTCCCTACCCATTTTACTGGTCCAGTTTAAATGCCACCTCTTCTAGAAGCTATAACCCTCTCAGCAAGGAGGACCTCTGTCTTAGTTCTGCACAGCCCTTGGGTACTTTTCCCACAGTTAGTGATTTCTTGCCTACATAATTTACCTTCTAAGTCAGGATGTGCTCTTTATGAGGATTTTCTTTTTTGTGCTTTTTTTTATAACCCTTCTTAGGACTTAACACAGTGCCTCAATATTTGTGCAGTATAATGCCAAGTTTTTATTCTATTAGGCAACCCAGTTTGTTGTTATATTATTGTATTGGTCAACTGCAAATTTATTCCAGAGGCCATGCTAATGGAGCAGAAACAACTCTGATGTGAACATCAAAGCAAGGTTTCACTAACCAATCTTTAATATCTTATGCACTGGCTTTGGGAGACTTGAGATTTGGGCTTTTTAAAAATTTCCACCCAACTGCTTCAGCCCCACCCCGCGATCTCCATCTCCTTTATTAGCTCCACTGCACTAGGATCTTCACTTCCAAATTCTTCCCACCCTTACGTACCACTCTATATTTTTTCAGGTCAGAGGAGGTAAATCTTTTACCACTCCTGTTTGTAACGTGCAGCCCTCTGGCAACTTCAGGAACTCTAAGGCTGCCTTACTAGCCACAGTGGTGATCTTGAGTCATGAGGTCCACACACTTACAACTAATACAAGAACTGTGATATTTAGGCAAGTTCCAAGTACGTGACCGTAGCTTCCCACTCAGAGATTCTATAGGCTGATTTCTAAATCGATATATTTTGCTGTTTTTGCTAAAACATTTTGTGAACTTTAATGCTTTATTGATTTTTATTAGAGAAGGAAGAACACTTAGTGAGTACAGGTAGGTGCTAAGCGCTGTTAGACACTTGAAATCTGGGTATCATCTGATACTCACAATGACCTTAGCAGAACACACGTCCACTTTACATGTGAAAAAGTGAGTTCAGTGGGCATCAGGGGACTTGTCCCAAGTCATGCAATGTGTAGGGCGAGGATTCCAACCTTGATCCTTTCAATACAAAACCCATACTCTTTTAGTTATACCATGCTACGGCCTTAAATAAAACCTAATCGGTCTGACCAATCAGTCTTCCACATCAAAATAGATCACCAAAAAGATGCAACCTCACAGAAGGTAACTTCTTACATTCCAAGCAGAAAGCAGCACCATTGGGTCACCAGGGACACCATCTTATTTCATCAGTATCTCAAGTGGTTTTCCTAAAGCAAGCACTGAATGACCCAATATTAGGTACTTGTATTAATTACCCAGGTCACCAAACGTTTTGCAAAATAAATCACACCTTCAACTATATTATTACTTCCATAGTTGCTTTCTAGAAGTTAGATGCATGGTACAGTGCAGTGAAAATGGAAGACTCCGGATTACACAAAGTTGTTGAGTGTTACCGTTTGGTCCAGTGTAAGTGAATTGGCAAAGCCCATTGAAGCCCACAACTGAAAGTACCCTATAACCAAAGAAACACCTGCCATATCCTTCCCCTTTAAGAATTTAAGAAGGTCACATTGTCTCATTCCACAAACATTTATTGAGCCCCAGCAACTGTGGTAGGTGCTGAGATACTATATACCTGTGAACAAGATAAAGCAGGCTCCCGCCCTTACTGTTGCTTTAAATGATCTTGCTAAGTACTACATAATACTTGATGTTCTCTAATAGAATTTTATTTATATATTTATATATATATGTGTATTTTTTTTTTTTTTTTTGCAAACAGTCATACGAGGCCTCTTGTGGAATACTTTAAAGTTTCTTTATGGTAAACTTGATAGAAATTTGTAACTGAAAGAAGAAAAACAGTGTCCGGTATCCTTTCGCCAAGCGCACTGCAGCCAAGTGGCAGCCGGCCACCACCCACGCGCTTCAGGCCGTGCGGTGGCGCTTGTGGGCTGGGGAGTTTGTGCCACCGTCGCCACGCGGGGCCGAGGCGCGCTTGCGGACGTCCCCGCCGTCCAGGCGCGGCCCCGGCTCCTCGGGGCCGAAGGGGTGCAGGTCGTCCCCGAGGAGGCTGCTCTTCGGGC